ACCGTTTCTTGTGAACGAAATCAACCAGTTCGGATCTAAATCCTACGGAAAGTATGTACATGGTACATTATTGTGAGGCAGATCTTCGATTTGGGCAAATAGTAAAATATTGTGGAAGACCCCAAGCGGGATGCTGCTCCTCTGTGAAATCTCAGCTCATTCAAGCACATGCGCAATTGAGTTTACGAGAAGAAGAAATCCACAATTTTCAATTTTTATCACAATTCTATTGCCCAGGGTGCTCCTATACTTTTTAAACAGGGGACATTTTAATTTTTTTTTTGCAGAAATGGTTGTAGCTCATATGAATTTATTGCTGAAATAAAAAGAGCTATAGTTCCAGAGCGTGCTAAGCCTAATCATATAGTTGCTAGCCATGAAACCTTCATACCGGTAACAGCTGATTCCAAGAGTGCCTTAACAATTTTGAAGCAAACCTCCTAGCAAAGCAGTAGTCCGAGAACGCTAAGGTTTGAGAATTATCCTATCTTCTTAGCTGCGGTCTAACAAGGGTTTCATGAATAAATCGCAATGTTTTATTGGTTAATTACGTTTATAGAGCTCTCTTCGAAAACATTCAATCAAGAAAAAACTAGTAAGGAAAAGCTAGGAAGTAGTGCTCCACCTGGCCCATAGGCGAGAAAAACTCCTTGCATATCCGGATAGTGATTATTATAGCCACTCATACCCGCCCTCACTTCACTAGATAGCTGTTCTGCAATTTGCTTGCTCGGATCTCGCTGAAAATACAAATCACACGTAAGAAATAAGGCCGCATGAAAACATGGACATGAGCCTGTGTTAGGGGAGAAAGCGTACCGTGATTATAGCATATCCTGGTTGAGCCACAAGTATCAAATCAGGTACCGTAGACGATTTCTTGTAGTGATACCATTCGGGGAGATCACCGACCTAGAGTCAATTATTTGTCCAGCAAAGAAAACTGCTCGAGAAATATGTTCAAAAAAAAGAGACATTTATTTTACAAAGGAAAACGTTACGCTGATAATTTGAACTGGGAACATGGTGACAGAAGGATCACCGATATTTTGGTGGTCTTACTGAATTCTTCAAACAACCTCAGAGATCAATTTGTCATGTTCGAGCAAAAAACGTGCTAATCAAAAATTTATAGAACATATTAAATGATTAGTTGAAGAGGGAACCTTGGGAGTGGTGTAGTAGACTTTGACATTCGGTATGGGTGTATGATTTCGTAGTTGTGAGTAGACTTGATGAGTTTTCCCAGGCATGGCGATTAGCTGCATGACCGCTCCACTTCCAACGGACGTCTGGAGCAGTTCCATTGGCAGATAGTCATCGAGGACCCTATCAAAAGTATAAGTATTGCTCCGAATCGCCGCACTTATACTGGAAGAAATTATCGAAGATGTTATCAGAGTGTCAAGATCAGTCAGGATCTTGCTTTGGTTATCAACATGAAGAGAAAAAAGGCGACAGCCGACATTTACCAGTTACCCACCCATTACCTATCTATGTGTTCTTCGTAACATAGCGATGCCATTTTATTCCCAAAGTAGTCTCTATGGTCAACCTGGCGCTCACCTTATGTTTCGTTCGGAGACATCTACGAGGCCATGCGGAGAGACAACCATCACATTGAGATCTATTCGTTCTCGAGCCTGTGCTGTAACGCGTTCCAGCGCCTGAAAGACCTCATACGATTACATAGTGCAACATTGATTCAATTAAGTAGAGATAGGAATGGCACAGAAGCAAAGACCTGTACACACTGAGCAAAACCTTGTACACATTGAGGTTTTGCCCGAGTCACGGTAAGTGGTGTGATATTCCTGCTCGAGACCTTCTACAGCCTAGATTGTTGTGATGTTGCCTGGCTACGCCTAAACCGTCTCGTGAGCAAGGTCAGCCCTATGTTACAGTACCAACGAGGGGGTCGTACTTGGTTCAAATTTGAGGGGTCGTACTCTCTCGTTAGCCGGCAGTGGGTTCAATGTGTCTTATGCAATTATGCAGAACCCTCTCCACATAGACGCAGTCATGAAGAGGAAGACTTGCAGAAACAGCAGCACTATACTATAGCATCTATAAACCCACGCTTCCTTCCAAATGAGCTTTTAAAGGAAGCGATCACGCTGGCTTCCACGCTGGATTTGCTACCCTCGCGTTATCAATCGATAAGGTGTGAGGCAGTAATTGTTGGACGAGTGTAAGCCCATGGAAGATATGATACGATGAGATAAGAAGGTGCGGCTGCTTGATAAGAGGTGCACTCCAGAATGAAAACGGGACGATAACGATAACGGTATCATATCTAGCACGCTCTTATCGCACCCCTTTCCACATCGATAAGTCTTGGTTTTTGCTGAACGGAAGTGGATTTCGGCGCCTTATCACTCCGTTGATAAGGCGCCACTGCCACTGAAACTTCACGTGTTGTAACATTGGGCAGGACCCCTATCCACTCCAATACACAGCTTCCCTTATCGTTCCCATGAAAATTATCGTGACCACTTCCTTTAAACGAATCAGCGAATCAGAAGCGCGGCCGAGGCGTGGCGCACACCAAGGCAGGGGATGCCACTGCAAGCGCATGCTCGAAGCTTTCTAACACATCCTATGTTCAACACGAAATTGCTTTCCCTGGAGGTTACGGCCAGTGAAACCTAAAAAAACCCAAGAAAATGGCTTGAAGAATGCCCCTCAAAAAAGTAACAACGGGACTAATTTTTGAACTGCTGACTTTTCAGGAACGTTTGGGTACTTTTTAGAAAGCTTGAATCCTGTAGTTTGTCATACCGTGTTCAGCTTCCCAAATGAATGACTTTCACGTCCCACCAACACAGCGATTGCGCAAGCATTATAAAAGACAAAAGCCTGACCTATTTGAAACAGACCCACTAAGGTGAGCCGCGAAATGCGCGTAAAGCAAAAACCCGAGTAGAAGTCGTGTCGAAGAATCTATCAGTGGGTGGGATAGAGTAGCCACGAGTATCACAGATGTGCCGTTGTCGCGGCTTGAAAGTGCGTGATAATGGCGCTAGGGCCTTACAAAGTGATCTGATGGCTAGAGGAGATACTTCGAGCACATCCCATGACACGCAGCGTGGATTTTGGCGTGGCGGATTATCTAAATACGTGCAGGTTGGTGGAGCCGTGGAGCGAGCAAGTTCCAAAAACTCGTCTGAAACGTCCTCTCTCCCCATCGTTTCAAGAGAGAAGAGAGAGACTCCTTGTTTAAGGACTTTACCGACTGTTTTCTTGCTTTTTTTCATTTTTTGGACTCATCATCCACAACTCCTTTTTTTAGCTGTTGTGACCACACCAGTTCGAGCTGGGGTTGTTACCTTGAGGGCCTCTCTTACGAATTCGTTAACCGTTTCTATTGAGAAAGTTGCTCCAGTGATGACTGTGAGGTGCATAACAGAGTTAGACGTTTCTCAAGTGTTTATGTTTTCAATTTTTTGGCGTGTTCGAACCTGCTGAAATCTGTCGACCTCCGTAGCACTGCGAACATTGGCCTTCTGTGGTCCAATTGTAGCAATCTGTTCTCGAATGTTCGGATGATAGACCAGTATCAGATCATGAACCCTGGAACTCGAGTCTCGCATGATAGTTTTTGATTGCAGGTGTAATATTTCTTTGAAGAGCATCAGAGAACAAAGGTGCATGACTTTTGGCTATTCTGGGGTTGCACGGGCACATTGCGCAAAAACTCTATAATCTGAGCAGCGATTCAGACGATTTCGGCACTTACAAAAGAGCGATGGCGTTCGTCATCCGGATCACAGGATTATAGTAAACTAGCCTCTTGATTAAAGGAATCTTCGCGGAAAAATCATGATTCTATTTCAGCCATAAATCACTGGCTCATTATCCACGATAAGAATGAAAAGAACAGAAATATTGCTTTTGTTTTGGTAAAAAATTCGAAAAATCGAAAGGGCTGCTACGCGTTCAAAGTGCCCACGGACGTCTTTCACAAATGCTGGCGACGGGGATGCTTCCACTTGGTTCTTGGAGTGCCTTCACTAGAAACTCTTCTGGCCTTTTGACTTATTGCATTCACATCTCACACTTGTCGAAAAAGAATGCAAGAATTTTCCGCGAAGGATTCTCTTAACCCTTTGGCGACAATGGCACCCACCGGTGGGTGCCACTATGACCGTCGCGTGGGACAATGGCACCCAATGGTGGGTGCCACCCTAAAATTTTCTTCTTTACCCATTTAAAACATTTTCAACATATCAGTAATTATAAGCAAGCTCCGTTACGCCTATGTTTAGCATATTTTGCAGAAATGTTTGTTACTAGCTAATTTATATGAAGTTCAGAGAAACAGATCAAATTTCCCTACAACACATGTTTCACATTCTAGTTACAGGAGTGAAATCCATTTACTCGGAACATTTGAAAAAGGTTCCTAAACACATTTCTGAGAGGTTATCATTCTTCTTTCCTTTCCATAACAACTGTTTAAAACACACCCTAACCAAGTCAAACAAATGGTCCGCTTCATGGCGTTCTTCAGAAAGCCGTACAAAGCGATGAGACCTCGGTTATATTATTTACGACCAAAAAATAATCTGTTTTCATCTCTGATTCATCTTGAGTGCATGCTGGATAGTCCACTAGAAAGGAGGCACTTTCTTCTTAGCGCATCATAAAACCACTTTGTTTCCGAAAATTTTTTGAGTGGAAGTGGCTGCTAACGAGGGGAGGGGGGGGAGCTTTCAGGGCAAGCCGCGCTTTTTCAAAACGGTTTCTTGCATATTGTAGGGACGCATGTAGGGAACACAAAACCATGTTTCATTTTCGCTGAACGGTTTTAGCAGTACCAAAAAAAGCATAAGGTACTGTTAATGGTTCGATCCCCCGTGGCGACTAAATTTTGCATTTGGGTTTCGCCTACGTTTGGTGTCGAATGATGCTAAATATCAAGATCCGATGTGATATTGATGGTTAAGAGCATATTGACGCCGCGCAAGCGGCGAGGCGAACGCTGCGACGCTCATCCATTTTTGGATTGCTGCCCAGCGGGGGTTAGCCTCATTGTGAGCATAACCCATAGGATTGTCATTGCGGGCATTGTACGTGATTACGGCAGGAACATCAATTCACTCTTTACTTCGGGTGCTCACTCTGTCTAAACCGCTTATCTTCTCTCTTTGTAAGACTGCACAGATGTGGTCTGTAAATGAAGATGCTGCTAGATGTGCAAATGTCAATCGTTGCAAAATCCTTTTTACGGCAATCTGTGTTCTACTCCTAATGTCAAAGTCTGCGATGAAATTGAACTCAATACTGCTCAAATCTTCTGTCAGAAAGCACTTCGCGCCATGCGCTCTGGATTGGTCTCAAACAGTAATATCGCAGCAAACTTCACACCAAATCTCAGCCTCATTTATGTAGCTACAAAAAACATGTCTACAGTAAACTTACAGCCTTAAAAAGCAATAATGTGCACGTCAAATTTCATGCCATTGAACTAAATAAGTTGTACTGCTGGCCGCCTCCTCTCATACTTGGCAAGTCCCATAACTTTTGAATAATGTCCAAAATTTCTCAAAAATTAGATCACAACTCTTTAAAGAGCACTTGTCCAAAATATGAGTTTGGTCTCATGCCTGATCTCGCAACTGTGGTCTTCAAATGTTTGATTCGAGCAAAAATGTACGAGCTGAATTCACGGCTACTATCACGGCACCAAATGAGAAATTCGAGTTGCAAAAATGCCCTTCTTTTGAGTTGGCAATCCAGTTCTATCTTTTGTTCACCGCTTGGGCATTTCGAAAGCAGCGGCTGAACGGAAGAGTGGAGCAAAAGCGGAGTAGAATTTTTTCTGTTCAATAAAAATATAGGCTCCTGTAACAGTCTCGCACATCCCTGATGTATATTATATTGCTCATGATATGTAAATGAGAACACACACTTCGTGGCTTCAATGACGATTTTCGCAACCCGCTCGTCGGCAAATGAAAGGCCATCTTTGCGTGGAGGAATGCAGAGATGTGGCGACGGACTCCAGTTCACCTAAAGGAGAATCTCTTCACAAATAAATACAGCAAAATCTCTAAATCGACACTCGCATTTGGATCAAATACAAGTTTAACCTATGAAATTTAGCTACTGGCGGAAATGACTAACGGAATCTCTCCCAAAAAAATCATGAGGGTTCGAGTCCCGGCAGGGTTTTTACCTTCGACACTAATGGTGTGGAACGATGCGCTAGCCCTAGTCAAGAACATAAAAGTGTGACTGAACAAAAAACTCACCTTGGAAAGCCGCTAGAAAGGGAGCTGAACGGCTTCGAAGTGGGCGTGGTTGAATCGGCCGAGGGACAGCCGAAACCACGCCCACTTCGAAGCTGTTCAGCTCCCTTTCTAGCGGCTTTCCAAGGTGAGTTTTTTGTTCAGTCACACTTCTTATGTTCTTGACTAGGGCTAGCGCATCGTTCCACACCATTAGTGTCGAAGGTAAAAACCCTGCTGGGACTGTTGCTTCAGCTTTGGCTCTCCATAATGTGTGGTACTCGTGAATTAAATTTTTTTTGGAAAGTGAATCCTTGTGCGTGAAACTTTATATGTTGTATATATTGATCACAGCTGACACATTGACTTGGGAAAGAAAGCAGGAATTTTCTGAAAAGGATTCCTTTGAATAGAGGTCAGTATAGTGGCCTCATATTGAATCGAAGAATTCTAGCTCCGTTATTGTATGTATTAACTTCATACTGCATGTCAAAATTCGACAGCTTGAGCACTGTCATCTACACTCTTTCATGCCCTCAATTGTTATTTGCTACTTATGCGATCACATCAGTATTGTGCACGAAAGATTGCTTCGAATTTGAGGAATAATTCTGATGAACTTATATTGAACCTATCGACAGCAGCGCAGCCTGCAAGGGGATCGCACTTTTGCACCTCATGGGTCACCACCCGTAAGCAAAGCGTGAACACGACACCCATTTTATCTCCTATACATAACTTCGACCTGAAACCTTTGTATTTATTCCGACACACGGGTTTTGGGATTTTTCGCCGGAACCACAGCGATTGATGGCGCCGCCGTCTCACATCAAATTCGTGAATTTTGAGCTGTAAATAAAGAAAACTTGAGGCGGTAAAATTTTTCAATGGTGTTCGATGTGTTGAACTCCATGAAAGGCATAATTGTAAAATTTTGATCGAAATGACGTCCAAGGCAAGTTTCGGATGCTTTCGCTGTAGTGGACCCCAAACTTATTTTTGACGCAGTCGCCATTGGAAACACACATCTGCTATACAATACCGCTACTAATTTTTGTTCAATCGACGAAATGCGACGCAGTCAGTCCGTCGCAACCGTCGCCTCGCCATAACTCGTGAACAAATGGATTAGGTCATTCGAAAGTTATACCACTGGATAGCTCTGCTCACGAAGAATCCAACGGTTCAGAGGACTATTGAGTTCTGAATTTTCATGAAATTTATCAAATTACCTAGGGGTGACTCATTAGCGAGCATCGCTCGCCATAATTATAACCAGAGGAGGACAGATATTGAATGTAGTATTCACGAGTAATGAAATTACTTCAAACTTTTTACTTTTAAAGTTATATTACTCCTATGTAGAGTGAAAATGAGACTGTGCGTTCTTTAGAGGTGCTCGTCATTTCGATACCGAATTCATCCCAGGTGGGTCAGCTTTGTTGAATGTCATTTTACATGGAAAAGCTCCTACGACCCCGAAATATAGTAAAAATCAATAGGATCTGAGTCTTGTCACTCAACGTTCCATTTCTACAGAGCTCACCCCATTGACGATAAAGCCACACCGTTTATGATCACGTTGTGATAAATTCTGAAATACAAATGCCAAAAATTGTACAAATATAAAAAGGGAGGCTGTCGTGACTTTCGTCCGACTCTAAACAAAAGGGGGTTTCTAGTCGCGCTCTACGCTGGGTCCCGGCGTGATCTCTATCGACGTTTCCGGAAAACCCGCCAAGGATCGCCGTAGCTCCGCCTACAGCCGATTCCTACGAGCAGTTCGCCTATTCGCCCTGTTCCGAGACGCGCATTCTCGTACGACGGTCAACGTCCTTTCACCGTAGCCGGCCTAACGGCAAACCTGGGTGCGTGTTCGTCTCGTGTGTGCGCTGTGGGTCTGGTCTATCTACTTGGTTACGTATTTGTGGGCACGCATGTTTTATCCTACGCTCGCACGTACGTGAGCGATGGACGCCTACAACCGCAGTACGCCTCAGAGGACCAGGTAAACCGCGTAGTGTCGCGGGAAAACTCTACTGGTTGGCAGCCGACCAGGATGGGTCTCTCGTAGTCACTCGTGGGCTGAAGTCTCGCACACCCGTAGGAAGGGTTGGTCCGTCCCGTGAGCTTAGGATGGTTTTTTCCTTATTGCCGTACGATTATTACTTTATTGTAATGTTTCGTATAATTCATAGTAGGATGAATGTTATGAGTATTGATGTCTTTTCGTTATCCATGCCGTAAGAGTCGGCGATTATTTATTGATTGTCAAATGTACAGCATAGGATATTGAACGTAGGCCTAGGCGTTGGTTTAGGGGTTTCAATTCAGAATGCACAGCTAGGACTATCGCGCTTTGGTTAATAATTCCCAGTGCAGGTGACGGGCGAGCGTGGTTTAGTCCCGTCGTACCCCGCACGTGTCAGGTCTTCCCGTCAGACCACCATGCAGATGGGGGCGGGGGGGGGGGCGGGAAAGGAAGGCGCTGCCCACGCATGGTGCATACGGTTGTGCAACGTGTGGGAAACCCACGTTGAGCCTTAGCGATCGAACCTTGCTCGCACTCGCCGGTCTTCAAGGTCTAGTAGGTCGCACCGTAGTGCGTGTTGCTTAGTTAGGCCACCTGTCCTCATCGCACGTACGCTATAACTGGGGTAATGCCCGGTCCCATGTGGGACATGTTCGCTACCTATTCGCTCTGGCAGGAGCCGCGTAGAAGAGACAGCGCTAAAACACGTCGAGGCATGGTTAACTCTGTACAGGTGGGGGAAGGTAGGTGGAAACCCCTCTCGTACATGATGATGCATGCAAACGGGAATCGGCAGAACCCCCAGAACCACCGCGGCGTAGGGCTCCCACGGGAAGGGAGGATACAGCGCTCACGGCTGGGTAGTTACCCTTGTAGCAGCTCGGATGCTGTTGTCGACGTCCCACCCGCAACTTCACGTGATACCTGGCCTTAGCTATAAGACGCTTGCGTTGGGAAACACGCGGTGCCAATTATGCTCATGCCTACGCAACATCTCAACCTACAGCTATAGTCTCTATGATCAATTCAATTAAACCCTTCCGTCGTTCAATTCCTTTCGCGAATGCTGTCGTCTCTTTATATCGAATCCCACTTTTTCGGCAGCTGCCAGCGTCGTTTAACGCGTTGTAGCCGCAGGGAGCTAGCGGCCAATAGTTACCCTACGGCACGGCATACATTCAACTTCGCGCATTTTAGATTTGGGTACGGGCAGTCACTACCTCCTGCCAGTGTTCATGATGTCAACCGTCAGTGAGTGTAGGCGAACTTGACTATGGCGCTCACGGCTCTGGATAGTGTAAAAGGTAAGATTCCGGCATCTCTGCTGGATGCAGGAGATGCACAGGTTAGCGATGGGGATCTCGAATACATGCCGCCTTAGAAGCTCACCTTACCCAAATATTTGCAGCACTTTGTACCGTGATAAAGAAGAAACAGCGTCTAAACTTAGTCGAGACCGGCTCTGTCAATCCGACGCTGTAAGAAGCGTATGAGGTTTACATCAAGGAAGCTCGCTTCGAGGATGCAATAGCTGCTGCAGAAGACATCGTAAGGTCTCTTCATGAGCGCTTGAGCGAAGTCAAAGTTCGCATCGAGACCAGAATATCAACGTCAGTTCCGCGTACAGCGCAAAAAGAGCATCAAGAACTTCCCGCATCTAACGCGCATGATAGTGGCCGTCCTTTCATTCTACCGCAGCGGTCCCTTGTTGGGCAGAATGACTTGGATGCGCCCGTAACGTCTTTGCCTTATGCTTCTGCGCAGGCCGCGTATAATAATTGGTCCGCTTGCATTCCAACTAGCGGTACAGGTTGGCAAGCTCACATTATTTACAAAGTTTACTTAAAGGCGAGGCCCAGGTAGTACTACAGGATCTTGACTCTGACGAGTGTAATTACTTTGAGCTGGTGAGGGCCTTGAAGAGGCGCTACGATCGTCCTTATAAGACTCGTGCGACTCTGCATAGGCAACTTCAGCGGCTACCCACAGCTCGTAATTCAGGTCCAGATCTTCGTAATACTTGGTTCCGCATATCTGCTATTCTTCACGGCTTACGTACGTACGAGCATTTTCGTACAGTTCTTCCGCTTCTTGACCTAGTCAAGAGCAAGTTTCCTTCGGACGTACAGCAGAACCTGCACATTTCGAGTTCCAGACGAATTCCGACTTCGACTTGAACCAGGTCATGCAAAAACTTGACGTCATTATCTCCTCCAAGGAGAAATACGAGGACTCCACTACGCTTAGAGACAGCTTCGTCGTGAACACAGCTTCTCGTCAACGTAGTCATCTCGTTCAGAGTCACCTCCGCTCGTTCGCATAGTTCAAGCAAATGTTGCTTTCGCGAGTCGAAGGATCACAGCTCGACACGTTGTCGACTAGAGGTACCAGTAGTTGCTCGTCGCACAATCGTACGCCTCAGTGGGTTGTGTTGGGGAAATGTCTACGCGAGGGTGAACTCGTCTTGTACGTGTAACTATCCCTGCCGATTATGCCACAGGAGATCATCATCATCTCTTATGCAATAGCACCTCTCGGGATCACCGTGAATCGCGCAGAGATCGCCAGAGAAGCGATGATCGTCACAGATATCGTTCACCTAGTCGCTCTTCGCGTAGTCCATAAAGGGATGGCAGAAGAGATCGTAGCCCCTCCTGGAGCGACAGGTCTCGTTC